ACCGATTCTTTGGCTATATCTATATACCCCAAATTAAAAATGTATGCGACCTTTATCCTCTTCATCGTTTAATTTGCTATTTGTGATGCGTTACCTTCTGCTATTCCTCTAGGAAATCCGAGGCGACTTCTGTAGCCGCTACACCAGCCTCCGAGTCCTCGATGCACCAAGCTCCTGGTGAGGATGGAGAGTCCGAAAGGGGTCTTGATGAGAACTCTGTCGGTGTAGGAGAGCTCACAGGTGACAATCGACTTTTGCATCGATACAGGAAAGCTAAAATGGGTGTGTTTTGGGCTGATAGATTGGTTTTTCCAAACTAGCCTCATCATTTTGCTCAATATGCTCAATTAGGATCCACGTGACTATCTACTCAGAAGAATGTCCATACTCAACCCTTAAATGGTGCATAGTGTGGTGGCTCAACTGTTCTTCTTATTGCTGGATCACATCCAATCCGATATGCAAATGGCCTTCCCTACTTTGCGCTCCAATTCTGTTCGCTCTTTCATCCCTTCTCTCACCCTCATCTGATGTTATGAAAACATTCTGCTACCGAGCATTATGTTGCCCAAACCCCTGAACTATCTATTCTTGCAGGATCTTCACTGTTACTCCCATTATTTTCTCACTCCTTTGCAAGCTGCTCATTGCCCTATGTCCATGCAAAGTCCAGGTTTCATCTTTTTTCCGTCAACCAATTACCTTGGGAATATTCTTTTGTTTATTATTACCCCGCTAATTTGCGTGAGAACAGCAATTTGAGTTAACTGCCCACAAGTGGCTATACACTAGTGGAGTTAAAGCACCCACATCACAGTAGTGGGTTCATTTTTTTATCAATCTAGTTTAGGTAGGACAATTCTTATCTGCTTTAACTTCATTGTTTGGCCATCGAAAATATCAAATGGGGCTTTTTTACTTCAAGCCTCCTTTGCTAATCTTCGTCAGATGATTGTTTGTCTATAACTATTTACTGGCCTTCTTTCTTGGCTCAACTCTTGTTGATCGATGTTCTTAGTTGCT